TTTATCCCTTCATCCCTGAAGCTTCAAAGAAGACCAAACCACTGCATAAAAATCAGCTCTCATTAGCATAAAATAAAGACACTCCTAAGACTACTCAATGGAAAAGTACAGGTTTTGTGGAGACTTGGTCTGACTATTGTAACAATACAATGTAGCTGTACTCATATTTTATTATAATTAGCACCAAAAGCTTTGGGGGAGGGGAGGAGCAAGACCCCTGCTGGTTTGCTTGTTCAGATCCAACCAGCCACTGGGTTATTTAACCACATCAGTTTATGATAACACCAGTCAAAATTCTGCAAGATACTCATTACAACCCATGCAATTTTGTCTGGAAATTTCCTGACAGGCTTTCAATTCTCTGCATCAAATTTTGCAACTCAAAGAGTCTCAGCAGTGCATAACATAACACGTCCCATGCTTCCTGACTGGAATGTCTGCAGGGGTTCACTACACTCCTATACTTTGCATGCCATTATTTACTGATCCAAAAGTACACAGAGAACCAGGTGATACTCAATCTACCATTCTTTTAGACATCTATCAACGACAAAAAATGTCTCATCTAAAATTCAGGATCTTGACGGCATTAATTCTTGCCCGCACAGGGCTGCATAATTCAATTGTGCGAGCCAACTGAGGGAGAATAAAAATGGCTGCTGCTGAACGTTGCTACAGAGGGGAACTGTTGTCACACAGACTGACTGATCCTCACCGACACCTCGCTGTCGATCAGGCAGAGAGTGAGCTCAAATTGAGTGGAATGCCTGTCCGCTCCCTATTAGGCAAAAAAAAGTGCCCGGACCATTTTAGATTTTACTATCCTCACCTGCTGGGAGGGCATAATTTGGCCCAAAATATCATTAAAGGAGACAGTCATCGTCCTAGTGATGCCGCAAGAGTTCAGCACGGTTTCTATCCAAACACATCACCACATTGTTATTTCAACTCCCCAGAAGCTTTTCACATAATGTGAAAAACAATAAAGGGAAAGTTAATATTATAGTAATATTTGAGATAAGTTAAAATAAATGAAATTTAATGGGTTTTGTATAAAAAGGACAGAATTAAAGGTGTGGGACTTCTGCGAAGAGAGAAAGAGTCTCTTTTGGCATTATTGGGTTTAGGGAATATCAACCTACCTACCTACATGTATTTATCAACCTAAATCTGCAGCTCAGTCAGAAAATGTATAATTCGTGGCCATTATTGATGGGTTGCCCATCATGCTGTGCTCACACAATTTTGCTGTGGTTTTTCTCAGGAAAAACTTGATATTATTAGTAAATGTACCTCAAGCAAAACAGCAAATGAAAATTACAAACTAGGCTTGTCCATGTTACTGTGTTTCCTTGAGGGGTTGAAATCTCAATTCTCTACTGCAACCAAATCCTTATTACAAGCAGGTAAAGGCAGTATCATTTGATATGTATTGCCTTTAGCCATACATGAGGAAAAATAATAAAATCTGCTTGTTGTTATTAAATGGACAGGGTTTTCATGACAATGGCTTCTTCAATATTCAACAGAGCCATTGGCCAATGGTATCAAACTATTGGGTCAAAGGCAACTTCAAGCATGGAGGAATAAAGCATGCCCACATCAATACAAATGCCTACGTCATCAGGATCATGATCAGTGCTCGAATTTGACCATGGCCACCGCTGCCATGGTGGTCAGTGCCCTTACAAATTGGCCACGGTACCCTGAAAGTTTCCACTTTGTCCACGGCCAAAGCTGGCCATGTGCCCCATTCTTCCAGGAAGAACTGCCCCTTGAAACAATACCCTATGCATAATTCCCTTCAAGTTTCCGATTTTACAATCATGTGAATGTATTTTGTGTTACCATTCTACTGGGACACGATTATCTTCATGCCAAGCGGGTGCACAGCCTGGCCAGGCAAGCTAGCAGACCTGGCGTGCTGCAAGTCAGCGCTGTACGTACAGCTTGAAGTTTGCCTGCTCTGTAATTCGCTTCAATTTACAATACATAAATGTACATGTATTTCATTCTGTAGCCCAATGTTTGGTGGACGATTATTTGCTGCAGGCATGTGCGGCGGGTGCATGGGGCTAGCAAACCTAGCTCGGCATAATGTGCAGCAACCCGGATGGCATATGCGTAGATAGGCTTAAGCTGTACCACAGACGGGCCTCCACAGCTAGGTCTTTTGTCCCTCTAGTTTCGGATCACGTATGTACGCGTGCAGCAGACTCAACTACACGTGCGTAACTTATTCTTAAGTGACGTAAAGAGTCGGTCAACTTTACGGGGCAGGGGAATGTGGTTGGTAAGATCGCGCTTTGCAGTAGAAAAAGATGCATCAAATTGAAACAAAACGTGGCTTTGTTTAATCTATGGTTTAAATCACTGGAATTTTGTATGAATCAGTTTTCTCTAAATTAAGAAATCCTTTGTCAGAAAATGTACCTGTTCCATGATGTAATATGATGTTTTGTCACAAGAAATTTTGGGAGTGATTACTGGGTTATAAAACATTTAAATATAATAGCTCAAGTGCATTAACACCAATTTTCCGTTTTTCCAGTTTCTGAACTCATTTTGCAGAATATTTCACACCTTGGCCTCAGTGCCTTTCCTTAGTGGAAATTTTGGCCTTGTTGCTCCTGGCCATGCATTACTGGCCACAGTGCCCCTTAAAATGTCACATTTCTTGAGGCCAAAATGGCATTGCCCCCCAAAAGTCGAAATTTGAGCCCTGCATGATGGATGTCAGCTGTAATTTTGTAATGCTAAGGTTTTGTGCATAGCAACTAACTGTCAAGTAAAACTGATTCATTTACAAAGTTATCAAAATGATTACCACCACTAATGTGGGGCCACTGCAAAATGACTGGTAACTGTGTTACCATGGTCACCCTGAATTTGGTTTTTGTTTGGTATTAAATAGTAAGAGTAGTGGTAACAGTTATGGTTATGAGTTCTAGTGGTTATGGTTATGAGTTCTAGTGGTTATGGTTATGAGTTCTAGTGGTTATGGTTATGAGTTCTAGTGGTTATGGTTATGGTTTGCTTTGCTTTTCAATGGAACTACTGTATGTATTCATGTTTTAATTCCCAAAACATTGTATTTCTCTGCTTGCACCAAACCTTACATCAAGCAATGTCTCTCTTTATAATTGCCTTTTCTGTTATTTTCTTCCATCGCTTCTCCAAATACATCCAAACAAAAAGGTTGCCCTGAATTACTTGATAAAATGACTGTACCTGGAGCCAGGAAATTACAAACTAAAACATCTGAAAAAGCCAGCAAACCAGATGTAAGTCACATTTAACCCACAACGGCACTCTGTAAAGTGTCTCTCAAATAAATCACTGAACATTCCCATGTAATCACTAAGTACTTAGTTCTTAAATGCTGCTATTGAATTACACTTGTCTCTCAGTCAAAATCCCACAAAAGATGACAGGGAAAACCATCATACTCTGAGCAATTCCTGGGTGGAAGAGCAGCAGAAATTTCAGTCAGGACAGCTACCAGTTGTTATTGTACCAACAAATTTGGTGTGCTCTCGGGCAATAAAAAGGCGATGACGGGGAATGGAGGTAATGTGATAACCGGGCTCCAGGATCCAATGTCAGGTATGAATGGCAGCTGCTTATCATAATGGCTCAGCAAGAATGGCTGGCCTTAATGAGCATGCTCAGCAGGGGAAAAAAAGAATTCGCCTGAATATACACAACATAACTTGCATAACAAATTGTATTTTGCAATCAGAGAAAGTGATGTCTCGATTAGGATGTACTTTGGCTTCTGAAGCTCATTATGTAACGACATGAAATGCATTTATACATGTAACAGGCATTTAGTATTTACAGTCATTTACAGAAGGTTTTAAGTTGTGTCCATTTGTTGTTTTTGTTGTCTTTTGCTTTCCATATTCTAACATTATCGCCTATTTGTTTGTTTCTCTTTAAACTCAGTATTCATCACTAACCTAATGAAACAAAGGGGTCTAGGATTTACCATACCCGTATTTAAAAGAATTGGTTATTTAAAGCCCTTGACAGAAACAACTGGATCCAGTTCCCAGAACCGCATAACTCACGAAAGAGATTAACTTCCATGGTGTTATTGCAAACCTTCCACACTTTGTTCATTTGTCCACCATGCACACGTATGAGTCTAATTCAAGCTGAACGCATTTAGCATTTGCATACAATCCACTTGCCATCTGCAATTCACGAAGGCTTATTTATATGAAAACATGCACTTCATGTATCACAGAGACAGTCAATCTGAAGTAAACCCTCCTGTTCTGCCACTTCCAAGTGAGCCCTCTACAGTTCAAAGATGCTTAGTCTCTGACTCACTGAAGATTGTATTTGTCACAGCCGGTCATGCCATTTTATGCTTACACGTACGTCTGCACCACTTATTAAAATTCAACACACCGCACCAGTATGCCGGGCAGAAAATAAGGAGACTGCCCTCTTGTGGCAAAGCCACTCTCAACTGTCTCTCACAGGCCAAGCCTTCCTGGGATGACCGGCCTGTGAAATCTAGCACTCCATTTTCTTTTAATTGTTCACAATTAAGAAGTACACCGGTACCAGTACTTCACCATTCTGTCTGTTTTGCATGGCAATCACCCTTCCTCATTCCTTCCTCTCAAATGTCGTAATAAAGTGCTGAGATCAGCACATCGTTTTCATTAATTTTCAGGGAAGAAGCGCACACATTGCAATGTTTGTGGACTGCTCTCAATCGACATATGCACGTGTATTCAGCAGGCACATGTCATGTGCAAAAGGCAACCTGACCCATGTTATTGTTCAAGCAAATACTACCCAACGAAGACTCAAAAGGATCTGTCATGCTTTCAAAATCAGCCAATCCCAGCACCCCCTTTGCAAAGTGCATACAATCAGCTGTAAAAGGGCTACCTTGTAAAAAAATGAGAAGCCCACAGGAACGACAAGACCCATACTTCAGACTTCGTAGGATGAAATGATTGAGAGATATGACCACTTACCATCTGATTTGCAGTGCGAGGGCCTGGGTTGATATCCGCCACCTTTTCATCAACTGAAATTGTAGAGAACCAAAGAACAAGTTAGGCTGGCGGACCAAACTTAACCAAGCTCACCCAAGATAGCGTGAGGCATCGACCCCTCACATCAATGTGGTATGAAAAGTCAGTGATGAAATAACTTACGCTGCTTCCAAGGATAAGGGGCAAAGCCGACTGAATTACAGATTGAGTCACTTGGCAAAGGCTGAAATGGTGGAGCTCTTAGGTGAAACCCCGCCTACATGTACCTTCACCATATTTGACTCAGGGATCTATATATTTCTACCATTGGACTCGGTCAAAAAGAGCTTACTACAAGATTTTTTGTCCACATGTAAAGCCTTTTTAAATGTTGGAAATCTGGCAGAGTTGAAGAGTGTGCAGAAAAGAACTGTGTCTTAAAAAGGAAACAAAGTGTCTGATTTGGCCACATCACTCTCATAGACGATACATGTGGCTTACTTCCAGGACCTCCGTTATTTATTGCATTTGTTTCTAACACTCTCAACCACTTATGCACAGATCTCCATTTTTTCAAAAGCCCCTCCCATTTTAACCATATTTGGCTTTGAATACTTACTGACTGCCTCTATCACTTGGGCAAGGAGCACCCCATTGGTGATGTCCACCTGAAGATCCGCAATGAGATTCTTGCGCCCTGCCTTCTCCAAAAAGTGATTAGCCCAGTCAGTGTAGATCTGAAGAAAAAGGAAAAACAGAGAGAATGGTCCAAATTAAAATAATCAAAATAATTCATATTGAAGCTCATTTCTAAAATTCCCAATGCCTGGAGAAGTTCACTTATAACTGCTGCAGAAAGTTTGCAGTGGGATTTCACATGCAGTCAATGGCTCGACTGTACATTGCAAGCTGTGTTTGTCTCTTACTTAAACATAAAGTGAGCCCTCATGTGGCAATGAGCGAACTGTCTAAGACATGAAAGCTCCTTCACTCAATCAATTTTCTGCATCCTCCTGATGCCAAGACCGAGGGGAGCTCCAGAGAAACTGGGATTAATTGGACAGAACCAGGTTGGCTTCCACATCACACACTTTCACACGGCTGCGTCTGAATCCCTTGGCTATGGCTGAAAAAAGCACATGTATCTAGTAAGGCCGCCAGCTAGCTGCTTCATGTGTTTTCCACAGACAAGTCAGTTGGGCACCGAATGCTTATAGAACCCTTCAAAATGATGGTATGCCAGAAAGAATCATCTCCAGTGCTGGATTCAGGAGGTGGTTCTGGGGACTAAACAAGTTTTCCTCCCCAGCTCACCTCCCAAATTTGTGCTGTCATACCCCTTACCCTCTCCCTTCCCGAACCCCTGCTCAGTGCAAACTGTGGTTCCAGACTGCCCAGTTTGGTGCCTGCTGATGATGAGAAATGCCACTGTTTGGCAACATCTCATTCTGGGTTGCACCAAAATGTCTTCATGTACTACTTCATTCCTCTCTCTTCAGCTTCTGGATTAACCCTCAATTACATAGGTGTTTCTTACAGGTCTAGCAATTTATCTTCGGGTCATGTTTTCCCTCACTTTAAACAGCACGTTTATGGGTAATTGAACATCTTTAACACAGCCTCAAATATTTGTGAGTCATAGCTACGGACAAAGAAGGGACAAGACAGAAAAATGGATTCCCAAATGGGGCTTGTCAAGATGCTTAGAGTATCATGGACGACAAAATGACAAAATTATGGATGGGCCCACTTGGTCAGGGATGGGGGGGGAGGAAGAAATAGAAAGAGATAGAAAGATGGGATTCTTCAACCTAATTGCCTAGGAAGATGGAGGATGGATAGATAATGCAATTGAATGGTCTGCATAGTGGAAAGCAAACAAAAAAAAGAAGGTGCACTGTAAAGGACTTTTGATAAAGAGGAAGTGTGCTTTCGCATAAACAGCTGCCCTTTTCACAACCACAATTCTTGTCTTCAAAACAGAATTGGAAAGATGACAAATATGCAGAGATGCTGCAGATACAGAAAAAAACAAGGACAATTTTGGGGTAACAGATCCATGTCTGTTTCTTTGTAATCCCAACCCTTAAACCCCTGAGCAAAATGACGCTGCATGAGCACTATTCATCGATTTCCATGTAGGAATCAGCACGTATGACAAAGGAAGTTCTATAAGAATCATTTATCTGCTCCCAGCTTGCCTGGTTCCCTGCCATCTAGTATAATTCATAATTGGAAAGGAAGAGGCAGGGAAGCAATCAAGAAAAGAGCCCTTCCCACCCCTGCTGAACATCAGGGGTATAGCCACGTGGGAAGGGGTCATGTCCCCCCCCCCATTCCTGGTGCCCACCTCCCACTGTAAAAAAAACCAATGAATGGATAAAGAACAAGGCTAAGGAAAACTTGCCCCCAAAAAATCATACCACTGAAAGTTGGTGTCCCCCCCCCAAATAAGATGCTGGTGTCCCCTTGTGCCCCCCACTTATAAAATCCTAGCTACGCCACTGTTGAACATGTCAATATACAGGCATACCAATATGCATTTAAGGAGATCACTGCCTAGTGGCTGTAGCAACTTCCCATATGGTATGTGTTACTCCAGGTCACAGCCAGTTGAATTGAACAAAGCCTTAGCCACTTCAATGAAAGATCACTGCACACCAGGGAAATTCTGTTGCATATTTTTCAGCCCAGAGGGCCTGACCACAGCTAGCTCATATCCCCAAAGTTCCTTCAAATTAATGTGAATATCACCACACCCTAAGTAGATCCATGCATCTTCAAAGCACTCCTCCATCTTCTGTAAATAGTGTTAGGTTCTTCTCATTTGCCTCGGCTTTGGAGTTTTTGGGAGAGAGGGATCTTTCTCTTCCCATTCATCCAGTACTGCCTCAAGATTTACAGCCAGCATGAGCAAACCTGGGTGAGTGTTAGTACAGTAAACTCAAGCAAGTCCTAGAGAAAGCTGGAGTGCCGGGATAAGATGACAGCAAACAGGCCAGGCCCGAGACTGAACAAATGCCACGAGAGGGACGAAAAGTGCAAAATCAATGGCATGGTTTGAGGGCTGTCAAAGATTGGTCAGGATACAGCTGGAAGCCAGATGGGTTAGTTGATGTACTCACTTTAGTTCCATCACAATTTTTTCTCACAAAAAAGAGGGAGAAATTATGAAGGGAGCATTCGTCTGGAATTGCTGGCATTTCCGGTAAAGCAGAAACATGAATACTAAGTCATATATCAACTCAGATGCATTTTTAAATCATACAATCAAATAGGCCAAGTAAGACATTCAATCTTCACTCACCAAAAATTGTCTGTTTCCCAAGTGCACGTCAAATGAAATGTGAAGAGGTCCAGGGTTTTGAAGTGGCTTGATACCACTGTACAGACTTATATGGCAAAGAGCACCCAGTGGAATGATGCTCTTTAGTTTTATGAAATTGTTTTCAAACCAGAATACATGTTGAAATGTTTCACCTGCCTCACGTCTGCTGATGAGACAACGTCCGACAGTCTTCAACATCTCCAGCTATTCAATTCAATGGCTTGATAGGAAACACAAGATAACTTCATTTGCATTATTTCAGGCTTCCTCTGATGCAGACTCAACGCCTGCCATAGAAAGCTGTACAGGTGAACCAAATTTTTATTTCAGCAGCATTTTTCGCTCAATCTTGTTTGTGCTACAGGGCACTCAAGCCATTCTTTGCCATTAGCTGGCAAGGGTTATCAAGGGGATAATAGTGACGTCAGTACATGGAGACTTTACTTGAAACGTACCATACAATGTATAAGATCTGGCCATTATTATCGAGTGTGTAAGGAAATAATAAATTGTCTGAAAAGTGACAGCAAAATCCTCTCAACCACAGCTGCACCAAAGGCACATGTGTAAAAGTATACACATGCATACCACTCAAACTGCCAGCTACAAAGTACTAAGAAGAATACAAGCTATGGATATGTATGCAACAGTGATTTACTCATGATGTATCCTGTTCATCGGGTCTGGTCAAAGCCATCTTACAAGGCAGAGTGACAGGCAGATGAAGTTGAAGTAGACAGAGGAAGAGTGGGGAGAACAGGATGCCTAGACTGATAGACAGAAACACAGAGGGTCTGGCCTGAGCTTCGGCAAAAGTCCCTAGGGATGGTGGAGGGAGGAAAAACCAAAAACCAGCAACCTGGGAGAGAGAGCCAGTGATGAAGCAGTCTGTGGTGTCCCATAACCCTTCAGTTGAAGAAAGAAAGGGTTACACACATGAAGCAATGTCAAATGTTTTTGGTCTTTGAATGAAAAAAGCCTGAAAAATCATGCAAACTTGCTGATAAACTGGGAATTGCTGGGAAAACCTGACAGAAGTGGTCAAGTCAAGCGACTAGTCCACATATCTTCAAATTTCCCAAGGTGGACAATTTTAACATCATAACGAGGAATCAGTGGTCCATATGGCAATGTTACACAGAAACAAGACAGTCCTTTGGTCATGCTATGCCTAATACATTCCAGAGCACATTTAGTGATCATGAATCATGATACTTCAGCATTCAAACATTCCCAAATTCAATTCACATTAGGGCCAATGTACTTCAAAACACCCTACTCTCATTGAGCCAACCGTCATTAATCAGAAGTGAGCTGACAGCCGCGTATTACCCTGGAACATTCACCATTTACAAAAACAATTACCCAAAGACCAAATTCAGACCTACTCAAAATGCACAAACATGTTCCTGGCAAACAAACCTGATTTCACCAAAAAAGAATGAGGCTCCAGATTGCAGCTGAAGTGGAGTTTCACAGCTCTGAACATGAAACGTGCACGTGTACATGTTCACTCACAGGATTGGCAACATTTATTAAACAGAGCCACTGAGAATGTACACTCCACTTTGAGAGCATTGGAACTAGCACAAATAGCTGTCAAAAACTGCACTGTGATGAAAGCAATGTTGCACACTTAATAGAATCATGACATTAAAATAATTAAAGGCCTAAAAAAAAGGAAAGTCCATTTAACATAGTTTGAACATACTGGAACATTGGTAGGTTTAAAGTTAAAGCAAATAGTCACTTTGTCACTATTTTTCATCGAGAAACCTACTATATGGAAAAGGTAAACCAAGTACCGCTAACATACATGTAAATTGCATTCTTTATTAATTTCTTTATGATTTATAAACCGGTATTTAAAAGTAGCCCTGACAAATCACCTCACTAACTGCGTGGTCAGTTACACGAGATATTTCCTTGCATGAACTGGTGACAGAGACTGTGTTAATTTACATGGCTCTGAAACATATCAAATTCTGAGTGTTTACTTCTCACTTTCAACGTACTCATCCATCCGATATCCGAATATCAGTGAGTCGTTGCTGATGTGGTCCATTAACTTCATGTGGCTGGCAAAAAAGTCACGCACATTTATCTAAAAATGACAAAACACCTCAACCGCGTAACTGCTAAGACTATCAGCCTGCACTCCCTTACACAACCGTATACTTCATGTGTAGTGTGCATACGTGTATAAACAGTAAACTGTGTATCAGAATGGAATGCTGAGCTAATATCTCACGGAAGGTTTCCTGCGTTGGCGGCATTACCAGTCTTGATGATCCAGTCCGGGCACTTTGGGTCCCAGAGCAGCTTTGTTTACCCAACATCAAGTTTCTTATTAACCCGAGAACGGGGAATAAAATATGACGAGCAAATATTGGTCTGCGCTGCCCGGGT